TTTCACATTATAGTTGGGGTTTACAGTTTGGTGTTCGGTTTCTGTTTGAGTTAAGGGTTCTACTTTGAAGTTGTGGTTTGTGTATCAGTTTGCATTTATATTTTGTGTGGGTTGGTGTTTAGCTCTGTGCTCTAGTGAGGGTTTGGGTTAGCTTCAGGGGTTGGATGTGGATTACTGTAGGGTTAGGGTTAGGATTTAGGGGGTAGGGTTAGGGGTTAGGGTTTAGGGTTAAGGGTTAAGGGTTAGAGGTTAGGGTTAGGGTTTAGGGATTAGGGTTGGGGTTAGGGGTTAAGGTTAGGTTAGGGTTAGGGGTTAAGGATTAGGATTAGGGTTTAGGGTTAGGGTTAGGGGTTAAGGGTTAAGGTTAGGGTTTAGGGGTTAGGGTTGGGTTTAGGGTTAGGGTTGGGTTAGGGGTTGGGGTTAGGGTTAGGGTTAGGGTTTAGGGTTAGGGTTAGGGTAGGGTTAGCATTAGGGTGGCCTTGAACTCATGTCGATCCTCCTGCCTGAGCCTCTAGCATGAGTGGCAGGATGACAGGCATGTGCCACCATGCCTGGCTGAGGCCTCCATTTTCCAAGTGTATGCCCACTCATCCTGACTTGCACACGTCCCCCGATGGGATATGAGTGGAAGTGGTTGGTTTGAGGATGACCCCCTTGTGCAGTAGTTTCCGTGCTCCTTCCCTCAGTCTGGTTTGCAGGGAAGCCTTGGCCTGTCCCACTAGGGCCCCCTGGTGCCCCAACCTAGCCCGGGGCCTGGTGGCATCTGTTGTTCTGAGGATTGGGGACTGGACCACTGAGGGAAAGGGCACCAGGGGTGTGTGTGTGTGTGCACGTGTGTGAGACAGAGTCACCCATGCCTTCGTGTGTCCTGTGTCATCTCCTCCTGGGCCATGCTCTGGAAGATCTTCATGAGAGTGGGTGGAAAAACCCCACAGAGTGGCTTTCCAAGCTGCTTCGAGAGAGGCGCCAGAGAGGAGCTGGTCAACCTAACTGACTGCACCACCCGGGAGGGAACTGCAGCCCCTCTGTTGGGGGTGAGGGGGCAGAGTGGTGGAGGGGGAGATGGAATCAGAGGCAGCCCAGGCCCCAGTGGTGGAGGTCCTTGGGTGTTCCCCTTGCTGTTATCCTAACTGGGACCATGAGCACCTAGGAGGGACCTTTGTTCTGGTTGGTTGGGACCAAATGTAGAGTGTTGTCCCTTGGTGCCACCTCACAGAGGTGAGATGACGTGAGTGCAAAATGAAGCAAAGGAGCGAGGGCCTTCTCTGGCACTGCCTTTTTTGTTTTACTGTTTGTCTGTCCCTCTGCCTGTCTGTCTGTCTTTCTGTATGTATCTGGGGCAGTTGGGGATTGAATCCAAGGCTTCCACCACATGGAGCGACATTCCCCAGCCTTCTCTTCTCTTTTCTTCTCTTCTTTCTCTTCTTCTCTCTCTCTCTCTTCTCCCTCAGCAGGGCCTCACTGAGTCACTGAGTTGCCCACGCTGGGCTTGAACTTGTGGATGACATGGAATTCGCACTGTCTGTCCTTCTGGGAAGGCCAGAACTGAAATCCTAGAGGGCTCAGGCAGCATTGGTTGGTGAGAGACAGGGATGGATGGGCGAGTGAGCCCTCTTGGGAACTCTGGATGGGGGAGTGTGAAGACCAGTCTGTTTCCTTAGTCAGATTTCATGCTATGGACTTCTGACCCCTACACTAGGTCCTTCTGCCCCCTCATGGGTTTGTGGAACCAGTGAATGAGGAGAAAATTCTGTTTTGACCTAAAATAGGTTAAGTGGGAGGGTGTTCACAGTTGCAGACAGAGGTGCTTTTTGGCCCAGGAGGGAAGAGGGGAAGAGGGAGGGAAGAGGGCCTTGCTGGGAGGTGACTAAAGTAGGAGAAAAGGAAGTGTGTGTGTGTGCTTGTGTGTGTATGTTGGGGGGGTTGGTGGGGTGGCATTGCTTTGCTTAAGGAGGGGAGAAGTAGTCATGTGTTTTCTGAAAATGGGGCAGAAGTTTTTTGGGAATCTTGGTGGAGCCTCTCTTCTTCCTGTTCTTTCCTGTCATTGTCATGGCAGCCATCAATTGTCATGGCCCCGAGGGGCGAGCCTTGTGGTGTCCAGCAGATAGGGCATTTTGAGGGAGGGAGGGAGGGGTTGGTTGTCCAGTGGTCATGCTGGTGCCCATCTTTGATCCAACCGTTTTTGGCCAGCCTTCCCAAACAAGGAAACTCTGGCTCCCATCCTCAGAGACGAACAAACCAGATTAGTGCAGAGTAGAAACATGGCTAGGTCCCGGAGGCAGGATGATACTGAGGTGGCTGGGGTGACAGTGATTCCCGGACCACTCTGGGCATGCATGCGTGCGTTCATCTTTCATCTATCAGTGTAGCCAGTGACCTGGGAGCACTCTCTACCTTCTGCTCAAAGCTGCTATGAACCTAAAGCCATTCCAGAAAGTAAATGTGTTTCTAGAGAAAGAAAGGAAGGGAGGACCGGAGAGAGAGAGAGAGAGAGAGA